AGTTTGTATGATGCGACCCGAAAGGGATGCTGACTTTTGGGGCTAAGGCAATTGAGTTGGATAGAGTCTGGGGTTAGTGTAGAAAAGTGGTCGTTGCACTTTTCTAAGAAGGGTGACTCTTGTGCCTTTCTTTTGTAGCATTATGCTCGGTGGCAGGTTCCACCTTACATTTTGCTAAGACTCTATGAGAGTCGTGAGCTCTCACTGATCTTGACTTAGTCTTGGTAGCCCTGTGCCTTGGCTAAGGATGGTGATGTCCAACTTAGTTGTTTGAGGTTAAGATGTTGGTACCCGTATTATAGCTTTGTCTATGAGGAGGTTGTGTACCAATATGAGTCCATCTCATGGTCTTCACTTTAGTTTCGACTGAGTGTTGATCATGCATAGCTAGCCTCTTCAAGGCATGCTCAGAGGTATTGGCTAAATGTTTTAGTGAGCTTATTGCGGTTGAGTTGGATTCGAGTGGTCATTTAGTTTGTGCTTGTCTATGAACTTTTATCTCGTACCTGGGGTATTATGTTCATGTTGGACAAGTATGTAACTCGATGACATGAGTTAGTGTTCGGGTCTTGTGAAGGCAAGTTAAAGGGCGATTGTTAGTTGCTTTGCGACTAGTGATTACTTGTAGACTTTGTCAAAAAGACTGTTGATACTTTCTTTGCTCGATGATGATTTAGCAGTGATGGGCTTGCTTTACCGGATGGTGTTGCGGAGGATCGTATCGTTAGACTTACATGGGTTTTCCATGTTGGCATATCGACTCTATCTTTGTTGATATCATTTGGTTACATTTAGTCCGTAGTGTTGGATTTCATTGAGTCTTGGACGTGGTGAATCACTCCTTGATGACGTGTTATCCGTAACTGAGTTTTGTTGGAGGATTGGTCTCGGATACTGACTAAAGTATCTTCGACTTTGGTTAGCTTGGTTGCTGGAAAGCTCCGAGTGGTGATTCACTCTTGCTTCCTTCTAGCTTTGTCCTGGTGTTGATGGCATTGAAGTGAGGCCTTGTCATTGATATTGTTGATATTGAGACTTGAGTGAAATGAGATGTCTCTCTGTAGGATTGATATTGAGTTTCATTAGTTCTGATAAAAATAGTGTTGATGATTTGGCTTTAGCTTTGTGTCGTTGGCATTCATGCATTTGCTAGTTAGCAACTGTGTTGACATTCAAATGAACTGAGTGGCAAGTTAAGTTAGTTGTGTTCTAGATGAGATTGTTTAGTAGGGGTTGAGCTTTAGCTTTTCCTTGAAAAATGATTCAGTCGTGGACTATGCTAACTCTACAAGTGGGAGAGTTAGTGATCAATATTGGAATATTTTGAATCCTTATAGGATTTTAGTTGAAATATATCCATCATTGATGATTCTTCTTGTACTTGCTATGAAGTGAGTTACGTCTTGCTATAGATGGATTCATGGAGGATCGTTTGATGATCACTTGTTAAACATAGCTTCGTTATGCTTAACTTTTGGATTGATGCAGAAATGCTCTTCATTAGCTTTGGCATTATGAAATTTGGCTTATGGATGTGTTGAGGAAGATATTGTGGGTTGCACCATGATTTCTTTTTTAGTATTGAAGTTAGCTTCTATGAGACTCGTGATCATTATTAGGCAAGACTTAGTTATAGGCTTCTTCGAGCTTTTGGTTCTTGAGTTTTGTGCTCATTGTTCCATTTGTTAAAAGTTGTTGGGGAAGGCATTTTGGCTCATTAGCTTCGATGTTGAAGTTGGTTTTTGCATCTGGCAATCATTGGTGATGATTGACTATCATCTAGGGTAGTTAATTGTCCTTATCACAAGTTTTGCTTGATTATTGTTGGTTTGGAATTATTTGCTATTCTTTGGGATGGTAGATTCTTTCTTCAACGATGATTATACATCACTACATTGATGGGCTGATTGACGATCTTTCATGATAGTTAGTTGTTCTCTTTGATGGCTTTTGGCTTTTGGCAATACCACATGTTCTTTGTGGTTTGCTCTGGATTGGTCTCTTGGGTTTGAGACGTCAGTAGGATGTTGCTGACACTTGCTTAGGCAACTTGAGTTCCTTGGTATTGTTGGCTGGGATCTATTCAGATTGGCTTTTGTGATAGTTGGCAGGAATGAGTGTTTGTTGGTCTTACCACATTCATTTTCTTCTGTTGATTGTTGCTCGAGTTAGTTTTGATAGATTTGGATGTTATTTCCTTTAGGTGATACATTCGCGAGCATTATGCTTGTTAGTCAATGATACTTTGTGTTCTTTGAGTTCTCTCTAGTAAGTTGTTGGCTTACTGTCTACTATCTTTGATAGTTAAGTTTCATCATTGAGTTTCCTTGATGATATACTAGCTATTGAATTTTGTTGGATGGTCATTCCTGTGTTTGCCAAATTATGATGATCTGTTGGTGGTTCCTATCTACAATACTACTGGTTTATCGGATGATAACTTGCTTAGAATACTTTTGTGTTCTACTCTAAGATATAATCACTAGTAATTAAGCTTCTCAGATATCATTGTCTCTGACTTTGATATTGTCCATCCATTGATCTTTGCGTTTGGGCCAGTATAGGCAGACTGGCTTCAGCACTTCGTGTGCATGGTGAAATCTCTAGTCATGGGGTAGCTACTGTCGACTGGTCACATAACCCGCCTCTCTGTCGATGTTCCTTATTCTGTGCAAGGGCGTGACCGTGTAAACAACTCTACCTGCCTGTTTACAGTAGTCTATCTAAACCTTACCGACGGGTTTGGTTTCTTTGCTTAGGAGGGTTGGGGCCTCTGGCTTCTCTCTCTATGTCCCTGCGGGCAGGGGCATATCACACTTTTGTAAGCTGGGTGACTCCCAGAGCAGCAAGGGTGGCTGACTCCGTTGGTCATTTCCTTGTCGGCGACGGCCGGAAGGTGTCTGAGCTGGTAGCGCATCCGCGTTAGACAAAGAGGTTACCCCCTAACTCATTTAAGTTGGTGCATTTCTCACATAGTGTGAGTACCGTGAACTTTTTATGGCGTTGTTTCCTTGGCGGTATTCTAGACTCGAGTATGCATCGACAAGGACGTCGATCTTCCCAAGGGGGGGAGAGTGTCGCGCATGTGACTTCGAGTATCGAAAGTTACCTGTCGGCTAGCCCTTACGGACACTCTTACCTTACTGCCACGATGGCAGGAGGTCGGTATTGCTGGACCCGTTATCAGTTTCCACCTAAGCTAGTTGAGAAACTGGTCATCACATGTGCACTTAGACCGGAAGGGCACTAAAGAAGGAAATCCTAAGTTGTCATTTAGTCAAGCAGACTTGACACGGTGATGAGAAACTCATGATGTTGGCTTCCACTTGCTAGTGTTAGGAACCCCCGCGATATTGAGATTGGTCCCTCAATATTCGCTAGATGATAGATTACCGTGTCTGCCAAATACCCTCGCTATCATGCCCTTTGTGTTAGTCTCATTTCGGTCCCAAATGCTATTTATGGAAAGTGTCTAGATTTGCTCATTTGGCATATCTACGGAATGTAGAGATCGGCCTGAACACAATGGTGTTCATCCCATGTCCAAATTCACATTCTAAGGACATTCCATATTTAGTAAGTTTCAAGCTTGTCCCAGAGACTAACTCCTGATACTAAGGGAGGCTTGGGGTGAAAGCCCAAAGCGTGTGTTCCTCAAAGGGGGGGGGGCTATGGGGGGTTCCAAATGTATAGTAGGGATAGTGGGTAGGTCGGGCATGGCCGACCAACCTGAGGCATAGTCTAGCTCCCGCTTGCGTGCCTGTCCTTGTTCTGCGTTTGACTTGGGTCTAAGCCCAAGTTCCATTCCATGCTAGCTGGTGGAGTACCCATGTCCTCGCGTTAGGCCACCGGTATGCAGAAATAGTGCCAGACTCCGTTTGGCTCCGTTTTGCGTGCTGGTCCTGGCAATGGGATGCTGGTTGCTCCAGGACTGTTCCAAGTCGCTCCGGGCCCCTGTCCCTTCGCTCCTTGGGCTGTATGCTTGGGAGTTGCTCCGTGGTTCGGTTCCATCACTCCTTGGCTCCATGTTTGGGAGTTTGGCACCGTTCATTCGTTCAGTGGCCCAAGGCCCTGAACCTCGGGTTCCTGTGGACACGTGGCATGTGACACGTGGCATCTGTCACGTGGCACAAAGAGGGTTTAGGTTCCGCTTCGTGGTGTTATCCTATGGTAAATCACCATAGGATAAAGGGTCAAAACCACGTGCGCTACAGCATGGTATAATAGAAGAAAAGAATGCAATGAAAATCAAAAGAAAGAGCAAATCTAGCATAATGATAGTTAAAATTCTAAATCTTGCAAAAAGCAAATGCAAATCTAAATCTAAAAGAGAACAAAGAAATAAGAACAAAAAGCATAATCCCAAATACTAGAGTAAAGCATTGCTAAAAAGTTTTGCTCTTCAAGGATAAATTGTAATGCCACTTAATTCCAGTAATGTGAGTGTTCGGGATATAGGTATATTAATTGGGGTTTAGACCCTAAACCTTATAATAATTAAAATTTATCTAAATTTAAAATTTAAAGCAATAATCTAAAACAAATATTTTTAATCTAAAAAAAGCCAAAAATTTAAAAGTTGTATTATGGTACACTTGCTAGCACCATGCCTTGACAAACCCAAATGAAAGCCTTATGGAATATTTACTGATATTTTAATGTTGGTTACAAAATCTAATAGTGTGGTGAATTACTATTAAATGTACTAATTTAATAAACTCCTAAAGTTTATACAAGCTAACTTTGGAGCCAAAATGCTTTACACATAATTGCATTTTGCTCTTGCCAATTCTAGAGCAGCAGTACTAATTGACATTGTTCCTATTGAGATGTTTGTCTTGGCCTAAGTAAGAGCTCCAGCCTCTCAAGTGGATTTAAACAGCCATGTGACTTACAGCTTCTCCTGTTTTACTTGGCTTGAGATGGCCTCGTGGGTAATTTGTTAAAGGGTGCTATATTATACTTTTAAACACAATTTAACTTGGTCATTTTTGTCATTTTTAAGATTGCATATTAAGCCTCCATTTTGCACTTACTACTAGAGGTTTCCTCCTGCGCATGATCACGCCTTGGCTTTCTTCCATGTTCATCTCTTCATTCCCTGGAAGGCTCCAATCAAAGGCTTGGACGAGGCGAGCAAGAGTGAGCCCGACCATGATCAAGGCCAGTGACATTCCCGCGCAAATTCGCCTCCCGGATCCGAAAGGAATCAGCTCGAAGTCATTGCCTTTGACATCGATCGAACTTCCAAGAAACCTCTCCGGCTTGAAAGCCTCTGGAGATTCCCACGAGCGTGGATCCCGCCCGAGAGACCAGAGATTCACCATGAGCCAGGTCTTCCTGGGGATCTTGTATCCCTGAAGCTCGCAGTCGTCGATTGATTCGTGGGGTGCCATCAAAGGAGCCGCGGGATGCAAGCGAAATGTCTCCTTGATGACTGCCCTGAGATAGTGGAGCTTTTGAAGGTCGGATTCTTCCACCAGTCGCTCATCGCCCACAATGTTTTGGATCTCTTGTCGCAGCTCTTGAAGAGTTCCCGGATTTCTTATCAGCTCCGAGAGCGCCCACTCCGTAGTCACTGCCGTGGTGTCCGTTCCTCCCGCTAGGATATCCTGTGAAAGCAAAAACGTTAGTACACTATGGAGAGTTCTTAGCAACTTACAAGGATCACGCCTTTCATGGACTTGTCGTCTACTCCCAGCGACAAGAAAGTGTGGATCAAATCGCCAGGATCGTCGCGGAGTGGCAGCGCTGCCTCGCGATGTTGATCAATCAACCTTTGTAGAACTTCGTCAATCTCCTTGCTCGTTTTCTCGAGCCGCTTGTGATAGCCCCCGAGGTCTAGCCATGACAGCCAGGGGATGTAGTCGCCGATGTTCACGGCCCCCATCAAGCTCACAGCCTCGAGGATCACCTCCACGAACCTGGGATCGCTCGCCGCGGACCAGCGATCGTAGAACCTCTTGGTAAACGTCATGCGCGTGATGACGTTAAACGTGAGCATGGAGAGCTTTGACTTCATGTCCACAGGCCTTGCTTGATTCGAGGCGATGTCACGCAAGAGTTCGAGCGTTTCTTCCAGCCGGATGCTCCGGAAATCCTCCAGCCGCTTGGCAGTGAAGAGGTGTGTCATGCACAGCTTCTTCATTTGCCTCCAGTAGGGGCCATACTCGCAGCACGCGATGTCGCGCGATCCATAGCACAAGGACTCGGGAGAGATCAAGCACGGCCTTGAAGCGAACACCTTATCGAAAGAGGTGAGGACTTCCTTGGCGGCTTGCTTGGAGGAGACGACGATGGCGGTCTTGTTTCCCAGCTTGATGCTCATCACGGGACCGTATTTGCGAGACAAATGGTGGAGAGATTGATGAGGAAGATGGATCAAGTGATGGAGGTGGCCGATCAAGGGGAGCCCCCATGGCCCCGGTGGAAGATCTTTTCGAACACTTGTCCATTTAATGAACCAAGTAACTATCAAGACTATGATGGAAATGAGTGTAATCAAAGACATTGGCGAAGCTCGAAAAGGAAAGAGGAAAGTTGTTCTGTTGATACCACCAATGCATCCTCTCGATTATATACTAGGACAAAGCAAAGTGAAGGCTGTCCACTTGCTCTTTTTTTTTTTTTTTGTTGATTTTTATATCTGGTTGAAGCCTGCAAACGTGTTGAAAGTCAGGGATTTAGCCTTCAAACAATTACAAGTAGTATAATCAAGCAAATGTAACGTAGTTGGAGAGAATCCAGCAACTTGTTTGTGTTTTTGAATGCGAAAATTCTCTAGGGTTTGCAATGGGGGCGACGGAGTCCAGGTCGCTCAAGGTGCTTTGGTTTGTCGCTTTGAGTTTTCTTTTCTATTTTCTACCGCCCAGGATGAGATCACAACAATCTCCGAGAGCAAGGGCGGTGGCGTGGATCCAAATTTGAAGGCGCTTCACTCGCTCAAAGTTGTAAGCTTTGTCCATTTCAAATTGGAATTTGCTTCCGATGAAGTCAGGCTGGAGCGTTGCTCCCCGGCCATTCCTCGCCAGAGAGCGGACTCAAGGAGATCCTCCTCGGCCAGTCTAGTCCCAGCCAAACCTCGGTTGAGAATCGTGAGCAAACACCATAGAGACTTGGTCTATCCTCTATCCTGGTCTAAGTTACTGTTTACGTTCTTGTAGTGTCTCTGGACGCCACCGCGACTGCCGAGCTCTTTTCGTTGTACCACGAGTGGCAAAAGGAAAATGCCACAAAGCTTTGCAAGCGCCAGGTCCGAGCCTTTCAATTCTCGTGAAGGAAAGAAGGCTGCTAAGTTTTTGTGATGGATGCGATCAACAGGAAGATCTGGGATACAGGATCGAGGCAGTGGAAGAACTAGCTCTCAAATTGTTCCAGCGCTTGGGACATTCGGCCTCGGTGATGAGAACTACTGCTTCGCATCTCGATCAAGGTTTGCTTACTTCCTTTCAATCTTTGGTCTCTTTATTTTCATTTTCATCAGTTGGAAAGCTTCGTAGCGATGTCAAAGATATGAAGCAAATCCTGGAAACCACGCTCCACGAGTATAACTCGCTTTGCAAGAACATCCATGACAATGGACCCGAGTTTCTAAAGCCCAGTGCCAAGCCTTTCTCGGCCAGCGATTTTGATAACTCTCCCTTCCAACAATGATAAATAAAATTTAAATTTCTCTAGGGTTTATGAGTCGCCATGGCGCTGTGGGTAGCGCGCAAGGTGAGTCCACTGCCGCTGATCGATCGATTCTCATCCTAAATGCCTTGGCGCTGCTCAGGCGGATCGCCGCTGCAAGTTCAAGAGGCGATCCAAAGCGATCTCGATCGTGGCGGAGGAGATTTATTTGCGGGATGATATTCCCTGCGGCAGTCCTCTATGTTCCTCGTGTGCTTCGCATTTGCCTCGTCTACCTCCCGACGCATCGCATTACCTGGTAATACTGAAGCGAGCTCCTCCTCCTTCTTTCTACATTGTTTGATTAATTCCTTGGATTTCTGCTCTAGCTTCCAAATGCTGATGCTGTTCTCCAATTCTGGGAGATATTGGAGCTTCCGCAATTCTCTGCTGTGATATTTCTTACGTCCGTTCTGAAAGAGGTGCGTTTTTTCTGCTTCCTTTTCGGGAATGGTTTTGTTCATGAGACCATTTGTGTGTCATGCATTGAAGGTGCAAGAAAAATTAGGCCAACGGAGCTGGCGAAGGCTGCGGTAAATTTATCGTTTTTGGTTTCTCGAGGATGTTCTTAAAGCTACATAATCTGTTCAGATCGATCTTTACTGACCACAGGCGATGCAACATTGTGTTTGACGATCGGCATTGCATATATACTTGGCTATCACGCTGCGAAGCGGCTTCTTCGAATTATCTGAAAGAAGTCACAGTATGGTTTGCCAATCACATCAACGGAGGTGTTCCAGTGGTGCTGCTAACTGGTTTGACGTCGACGGATTCCGGTAGAAATTTAACTGAGCCTCGCACAACTGTTGAAGTGAGCTGATAGTTACGCGAAAGCTGGCGAGTAATTTTCTGATTTACAGGTTCTCGAAGCCGGTACATATTTTTCAAAGTATTGGAATCACGATTCTTCTGTGGCTGACCTCTTCACATCGCTGGTGAGTTCTCTTTGTTTGACCGTTCTCGATCATTTTCTTTCTCTGTTTTTTTCAATTACAGTCTGCCACAATAATAGAAGCAGTTGAAGTGAAAGCCAAACTTAGTGATGGCAGAATGCCACCGTCCGGAGGAGGCAAGGGATTGTACAAAGAGCATCTATCAAGTAAGTCATGTTCTTTTATCTGATGGCTTTACAAGTATGTCTCTTGCTGAACAGCAATTTCGCTGGAGGCTGGAATGTCGAGAGGGGACTTGAGGGTGGGTGTCTTCTTTGTTAATCGTCACGCACCATCAGAAGCATTGGTTCGTCCTAGGTAGATTCTCTAGACTAACTTGATGACCAGTCTCATGGAGTATCATGTGCAGTAATAAAGGGGAGGCATCGCGGCTGGAAATTGTTGTTGCTGGTCGAGTATTCCAAAACAGGGCGATACATGGGGATACAGTCGTAGTAAGTGTATGTTTATCCTCCATTAGTGTGTCTTAATCTTCTTATGCCACAGGTAAAAACTTGCAAGCTAAGACTCACGGAAAATGAAAACGAAGACATACTCAATGAAGATGTGCTGGACGACGAGGAAGGTAGCAGACATTTATCTGATGATGCTCTTATTTCTGGAGAGGTCGTTGGCATATTACAAAGGAACCAACGAGACTACGTCGCTTGCCTCTTGGAAGAAGATGAAGCTTTTCTAACCGCTTCGAGGTAAGCCTTTTTTTTGGAAACTAAGTTTGTATATGTGACCAACGTGCAGGCAGGAACGCTTATTGTGCGTACCAATGGACAAGCGCATTCCTCTGGTCGAGGTTAGCACTCGCCAAGGACTACGTCTATCCAATCAAAGATTTATATTGCGTATAGATAACTGGGAACTTGACTCGAGATTTCCAAGGGGCCATGTTGTGCGATCTCTGGGTCCTATCGGCGATTTGAATGCCGAACTGAACGCTATACTGGTGGAAAATGGAATCTCGGTAGCTCCATTTAGCAATTTGTAAGGTCTCCTCTTTTCTTATTTCCTACTCACCGCAGCATCAGATCGCTGCAGGAACTTCCTGAGGATTCGTTGGATAACCCGTGGAGTATACCTGAAGAAGAATTTGCCGTTCGGAGAGATATCCGGTTTTCTCATCGTAGCTGCAGGTACCAGGCATTCAGGCTGGCTTGTGTCACTTCTTCTTTTCTTTTCTTCTCAGCATTGATCCTCCTGGAAGCAAGGATGTGGATGATGTCCTGTCAGTGAGTGATCTGGAGAATGGCATGGTCGAGGTATCCATCCGTCACTACTTGGAATACGTGCATAATCCTTTCGTTTATTTCAGATAGGAGTCCATATAGCTGACGTTTCATACTTTGTGAAGCAAGGAAGTCTTCTAGACCTCGAGGCTAGATCTCGCGGAACCACTGTCTATATGGTTGGAAAAAGCTGGCATATGCTTCCTTCAGTTTTAAGGTAGCTTTGATGATTTTTCTTATCTCCCTGAAAGTTTGATCTGTTACAGTGAGAATCTCTGCTCGTTAGTTGGAGGAAAAGATAGGCTGGCTGTAAGTGTAATATGGACATTGGACCGCCAAAGCAATTTTGAAGTTGTCAAAACATGGTTTGGAAGAACGATAATACGTTCTCGATATCAGGTGCGAAATTTCAGGTATCCTTTATGTCTTCACACTGTTCCTCGCTTTCAGCTCTTCTATGCTCAAGCTGAAACTATTATGGAGGGAAAACGTTTACCTCCCGGCTGGGAAATTAAGAGCGGCTCCAATGATCTGTCCCAATTACAAAGTGACCTCCTTCTGCTTGGTACTTTTGCTCAGGTAAGCTAACATGGTAATTGCCTCAACTTCCTAGTTGACATTACATTTCAGAGCAGACGCTTATTTAGGCGGGTCAATGGTGCTTTGGAATTAGCCAGTACGGAACTAAAGTTCGAAATTGATGAGAGAAGAGAGCCTGTGCAAGTGGAAACGAAAGTTGAGCTACCTGTGAGTTTTTGGTTTTTCCGCCATTATTGTCATTTGATCAGTTTATATCAGATGAATTGGATAGTTGCGGAGATGATGATATATGCCAATGCTTGTGTTGGTGAGAAGATCTACCGGTAAGCTTAGTGGAATTCTAGATCTGTTTTTAAAGTGTACTTCATGCAGAGCATTTCCCAGTTGCGCACTTCTTCGGAAACATTCTCCACCAAAGATTGATAGCTTCACAACGTTGCTAGAGGTTAGCCAGAGGGCATTTTTTTTCCTTCCTATATCGGATCTTTGTTCATTGCAGTGCTGTGAAGCGCGAGGATTTGTTTTGGACGTTTCAAGCAACAAGGCAAGAATGTTCACGATATTTTACTAGCACTTACTCCCATGCTACAGCAACTTGCGGCTTCTTTGGACCGTATGCGCGATAGTGGCGATTTTGTTGTTGAGGTACATTGGCAGTTTAGGGGGTGAACTTATCTAACTGTGGGTTTTACACACAAATAGCGTGCCTTCAGAGCTCTTGTTACGCGTGCAATGTCAGAGGTAAAAAATGTAACGAAAACATTGATCACATTTTATGTTATAGTTTCGTCATGTAGGCAGAATATTTCTCTACTGGCGAGAATCTAGAGCCTTCTCATTTCTATCATTATGGATTAGCGCTAGAGTAAGTATCAAGCTACCTTGGACACGTTTAACACAACCTCAGGTTTTATACACACTTCACGTCACCAATACGGCGCTATGCTGACATCCTTGCGCACCGGATGCTTATAGCAGCGTGCCAGGAGCAAAACCTAGAGTCTGGCATTGTCAAAGTTCCACATATAATGAGTTCTATTGAGCTTCAGGAGGTAAAAACTGGAATTTCTGTGATGGTTGAATTAAGTTTTTGTTGAAGGTCGCGGAACACTTGAATGAAAAGCACCGAACCAGTAAGCGAGCTCAGAAGGAATGCAATGAGCTCTATTTACTGATGTTTCTCCAGAAACAAGCCAAAGCAGAGCTTGCTGTGGTACGCAGAAACAAAAACCGAATGCATAAGCTTAACTTTTGGAACTATCAGGTCATCGGTGTCACGACGAAGGGTATTATGGTGTTCGTACCCAAATACGATCTCCGTGGTCTCGTGCTTCTGGAGGTAAGACGTTTTGTTCTCTCTCTCAAATTACTTCTTATTTTTTCAACAGGATAAAAATGGGCGAGTTATATTACCTGAAATGCATTCTGAGACGTCAGAGAAACAATATCGCCTAATCAAACAGAAGACAAGCATAAAAATTACTGTAAATTATTTGTATCCGATGTGTTCCTCTTCTGACTTTTGTAGAACTTTCAGGACGTTACAGATGGACGGTGTGACAGAGAATATAAACTCATGGACACGGTTTGGGTTCGACTCAGAGCAGATGGTACGTCTATCTGTTTCTCTGGCTTGCTTCGCTTTTTAAGCTTTATGACAGGCTCGCGAGCACATGGCCCGACTCTTCGTATGGATTTGCTAAGCGAAAGGCATCCTTTAGTGCTGGCTGCGCAAACTGAGAACCTCTCGTCCTCTATATCACAGCTGGACTTGTTCAAACCAGACATCAAAACGAGTGCAAACCTCGAAAGGAATAAGGCCATACAAGCGATGGCGGCTTTGGAGAAAGCTTGCAGGATCAGTGCAGACAATGCTGCTCCAGTGCATAAGCGGAGGAAGCTAGCCGTTGTTGACGTCTTACAGAACGCTTTTCAAGCCAAAGGTAAGCTTCTTTTGTGTGGATTACTAAACATTTGTATACTTCGGCAGCATTACCTCTTTTCTCCATCAATTCGGCTGTTGAGGATCAAACTTTTTCTGCGGCTCTTGGAAACTCGGACCTGAATTCGGTAACAGTGTCACTTGCAAGCGACAAAGAGACAGGCGCACTAGCAGTCAACGATGAAACCCAGATGCAATTATCACTTCGCAGAAGGTGGCAGGAACGCCTGGTAAGCTTTCTCTTTTACTTTCGTTTTTTTTATAATTCTTTTTTGTGAATAAACTATGGCTCCAGGCTCAGGCTGGATTTACGAAAGCCAGATTGACAACCTCTACCTCATCAAATGAAAGC